GCCGCCGCGCGCTTGGGCGACGGGCTGTCTCTCGGAGGTTTCCAGTCGCCAGCTCTCGCGGGCGATTTTTTGTCCCCCCAATCCCCAGGCTCCGCCCGAAGAGTCTGGCCGCTGAGAAGCGAGGGGGGAACTCTGGGGTGCACCCCTGGGGGGCTGCATTCAAGACGCGCAGCAAGGCCTTCGGCCCGTCCTTGGCCACTTTCGCTAGCCCCCCCCGTCGTATATCCCAGGGTTGCGCCCCCTCTTTGTGGTCCAGTCGAAGGCCTCCCAGAGCCTCGGATTGGGGTCCACATGTCCCCTGTTGGTTTCGCCGCCTCCTTGATTCGCGGAGCTCTCCAGCAGCTGGCGCCTCGGCGAGGGCGTTTTGGGGGGTTGCCCGGCTTGTCCCGGAAGGCCGCTCGAGGACCGAGCTGTGCCAGTGGGCCGAAACCACGGGCTCCCAGACTTCCGTCGTCTTGAGCAGCTCAAGGCGGAGGTGTCATCGTTCACCAGAGGCAAAAGTACCACCACCACCAGCTGGGGGGGTGGCTGTCCCACCCTCTCGAGCTGGTGGCACCACGTTCTGGGCACGCTTCCAGAGAGTGCCCGGAAGGAGGTGCCACCAGCTCGAGGGGAGACAGCGGCCACCCCCCTAGCTCGTGGTAGTGGCACTTTTGTCTCTCCTGAATCGTCGCGCTCGGCTTCGGGGACTCTTCCACGGGCGTCGGTGAGCGTCGGAACACGACTCGGGGCGAACAGCTGGCCTTGGGGCGCGGGTCGGGAGTTTGGTGTGTGTAGAGAGAACAAAGACGTCGAATCCTTAAGGGCACACCGGGAAACGAAACTCGCTTGGATCGAGGCTTCTGGAAGTCGTTATCAGGCCTGGGGGCCGTCAAGAAACGACCCGTCGCCACCCACCAAACCACCCCAACCCAACCCGAAGGCGTCACTTTGCCCTCCATTTCCAGGCGGGGGGGTCGGGGAACATCGAAAAAACACACGTGAAGCCTACCCCCCCCCCCCCCAACCCGAAATTCGAGTTTTCGGGTTGGGTTGGGGTAGTCTGGTAGGTAGTCAACCCGATATGTAATGTGGCCAAGATGGGCCCCGAGAAGAGGCAGATTTCCTGTGTTTGGTCCATGATTCCATACATCTGCGTTGTATACGATCTAATGAGAGTCTCTGCGCTTGAATTTTACGCGTCTGGATTTTTCACACGACATGGTATCATCCATCCCTCGCGGTGTGGATGCATACCGAGGGACCGAGGGGCGATCTCATGGATACCCGATTCCATGAACACGCCCCGCGCGGGGCATCCGCGCACAAACCGCTTTGTAGGGTTTCAGCCGAGCAGTCCTGACCGTGAGGCTATGGATGTTTTCCGCCCGCGCGTCGCATCCGCCGTCGCTGCCGTGGTCGCGGTCGCGGTCGCGGTCGTGGTCGCCGTCGTCATCGCCATCCTCGTCGTCGTCATCCTCGTCATCGTTGTCGTCGTTGGCTCCTCGTCGAGGTCGTCGTCGCCGTCATCATCGTCGTCGAGGTCGTCTTCCACGACGGGAAGAGCAGTGAGGAGGGGGGGGGGGAGGAAGAGGAGGGGGGACGAGGTGGAAAGAGGAGGAGGGGGAGGACGAGGAGGAGGACGAGGAGGAGGAGGAGGAGGAGGAGGAGGAGGAGGAGGAGGAGGAGGAGGAGGAAGGGGAGGACGAGGAGGAGGACGAGGAGGAGGAGGAGGAGGAGGAGGAGGAGGAGGACGAGGAGGAGATGTGAGCAAAAGGCCATCTGCGTGAACCATCCCCCGCACTCGGAGCCCCGGGGCAGCGGGGCCGGCCTCACCCCGCACGGCCCGCCGCCGCCCGGTGGCGGCACGGTGGCCGCGGGCGCCAGCCCGCCATGACGAGCAAGGATACGACACATACCCGGCCGCTGGTTGCCGAGGGCAGCCGCAGCGCGCAGGCTGGGGCACGCCGCGCGGACAGGCGGCCACATCATTCAGCAGGACGTATGTATTTGCTTGGTGGTGGGGCGTGCAAACCAGCACGACGGAGCGTCACAAGGCACCACGAGGCTGAGCCACGAGGAGCTGTGGAACAGGCAGCCTGGAGTCATGCGTTGACGAGGGCGCACGTTGCCGAAATACGAGATGTACGAAAGCAGTCAAAACACATACAACACCAACTACTGCACCAGGTGCGACAAAGCCGAGCAGACCGAATGGGCAAATCATGTACATCGTCGTGGAGGTACCAGTGGACCACGGCTACGCCGGATACGACGAAGTCGACTACGACGCCTATGAAAGGCCACGACGAGCACAACGGTTACGACGACTGCGCATCATACAGTTTCTCCACCCTGCCGCCCACCACGCTGTTTTTTCGAGAGCCACCAGCGGCATTTCGCGGGCCACCGGCACAGCTACGATGGCCCTTGGCACAGCTCCGACGGCAAGAAACGCGGCTTCGAGGACCAATTGCAGAGCCAGCATGGCCACCAGCAGAGCTTCGAGAGCCACCAGCTGCGCTACGACGGCCACCAGCAGCGCTTCGACGGCAAAAAGCGGAGCTTCGAGCAACGCCAGCTGAGCTTCGAGAGCAGGGATCCAAGACCTACCGCTGATCTTCGAGGGCCACCAGCAGAGCTACGACGGCAAGAGGCCAAGCCTCGAGGGCCACCAGTCGAGCTTCAAGAGCCAGCTTAGCTAGAGAGCCACCAGCCGAGCTGCCAGGCCACCACCAGAGCTTCGATGGCCACGACCTGAGCCGGGCCGCAAGCAAAGCTACGAGAGCCTCCTGCGGAGCTACCAAGGCGACGAGCTGAATTGCAAGGGCCATGAGCAGAGCTTCGAGGGCCACCTGCTCAGCTGGGACAGGCACCTGCTGTGCTACAGCTACGAGGGCAACGCGCTGAGCTACGAGGGCTGCGAGCAGGGCTTCGAGGGCCACCTGCTGAGCTACGAGGACCACTAGCGGAGCTCCGAGGGCAACAGGCAGAGCTTCAAAGCAACCAGCTGCGCCACGAGGCCCGCGAGCTGAGTTACGAGGGCCGCAGGCAGAGCTACCAGAGCCACGAGCAGAGCTAGCAGTGCACCTCCCCGAGCGTCCAGAGCCTCCGGCAGCGCTGCGAGGGCCACCGGCTGAACCACGAGGGCCACCTGCTGAGCTACGTGAATCGCCATCAAATCTGCGAGAGCGACCGGCCGAGGTATGAGGACCACCAGCCGAGCTATGAGGGCCACCAGCAGAGCTACGAGAGCCCCTCGCAGAGACGCCGAGGCGACGAACTGAATTGCAAAGGCCACGAGCAGAGCTTCGAGAGCCATCAGCTCGGCTACGGGTGCCACCTGCGGAGCTACACGGGCAATAGGTTGAGCTACGAGGGCCGCGAGCAGAGCCACGAGTGCCCCGAGCTGAGCTTCGAGAGCCACTGGCAGAAAAACGGGGACCATCAGCGGAGCGACAGCGGCAACCACCGAATTACGCGAGCCACCGGCAAATCTAGCTGGGCCACCAGAGCACACGGGAGCACCTGAACACGCAGGGCTACGACGACGGGTACCCGCCCGAGTTACCGGGCTGAACAGCCAGAGGCGTCACAATGGCCTCGAGGGTACCTTGGACGCGTTGGATACCACTGCGCAGCGGTGGGCCTTACGATCGGGATCGGTGGTTATCAGTGTCAAAACTACCAACATCGATCACATCAAGAAGTCCACAAAGAAGCGGCTCGCCATCGTGCACCATCAGACGGCTCGAGCCTATCATCATCACGGTTTGAGGCGATATGATTACGCGTTCGAGAGCTCATTCGACCTCGCAGCCTCCGAAGATCATCCAGGGGTTGCCACATGTTTCGTCGATATGACTCATGGTGAAAGCTTGTTCGAGGCACGTTACAGTCGGATGGCGCACTAGTTGTGGTGGTACCAGCGTTCCTAAAACCGCATACAACGGTACCGGTTTTGGTGGAGGAGCAGGGCTGCTCCGTCTACAGCGCTAAACGCAGCGATATGTTGTGTACAGTGTTATTACGTCCGGTACACCACGTACTACACCGCGTGTCCAGCATCCACGCAATATTTACACCGAGAGGCCTGGCCGCTCCCCCATACATCCTTACCCGCCGTTTTCCTCCTTGCTGATCCGAGTATGCTTACAGTGGTCGGTCCTCCCCCTACTCCTGCCCACTTCGGAACCTGCTGTCGCCGGCGTGCGGAGGCACCTCCGCTGCGTTAGCCCCGTGCCCGTGCGTGCGGCCGCGCGGCGGAAAGGGACTGCCGCGCCAGGCGGCGAGAGAGAGAAACAGAGAAAGAGAGAGAGAGAGCGAGATCGAGCGAGAGAGAGAGAGAGAGAAAGAGAGAGAGAGAGAGAAGAAGAGTGAACAGGAGGTGGGGCAAGGAGACGGGATGGGAGTCAGGAGGGGGGGGGAGGCGGGAGGAAAAGGACGGGGATGGGTTGAGGAGGGGGACGGTTTGAGAAGAAGACGAGGATGACGTGGATGAGAGGAATAAATGGCGACGGAGAATGGAGGATGGAGGAACCAGGAATGAATTCATGAATCTGAGATTAATGAATGAGCAATGAGGAGCAGGCGGACGAGGACGGATGATGTGGATAATGGCGTGCTCAAGGGAGCGAGCACTCGAGTTTTGCCGTTGTCGTAAATAGCGCCGCTGCAACATCTCTCCGTTTTTGCATCCGCGGAGTGTTAGCAGAGCAGGAACAAGACCTTGACCCCCAGTGGGCGAGCACAGCTCGCGTGGTGACTCTGGCAGTTCTTTCCTTCCACGGCGGATAGCTTGCACATCACTCTTCGAAGCGTGAGCGCCCTTTGAAATGCTGTGTGCTGGTCGGGTTGCTCCGCCTCCCCTTCCCGTGTGGCATTTAATGTCGCTGCGTCGCCGTAATCATTGTGATGTTCCGACTGGGTGTCCGCCGTAATCGACAGCCCAATTCGTTCATTCGGTGTGGTTCTTCGCGGCACTCGCTTCTTGGACCAAAAGCAATAGGTCGGGTATGCGG